AAAGTTACTCTCAGAGTAAGGAGTCAAATTAATCAACAAACCAACTACACCTCAAACCTCTTTTTTGTCATTCATTCAAAGTATACTGATTGAGAGGACTTGTCAGGCACTGAGCTAGGGACAGGGTAACAAAGGAGCTGAAAGTAAATGAATGGAAAGTTTATAGACTATGGCAGGGGCTCTAACTAACCATTTCTCTGCCATGGACTCCTTTCAGAGTCTGGTGAAGTTACAGGCCCTTCTCAAAATGTTGTACAAGCATAAATCAATTATACCGACACACAAGGTAATACAACTACTGGAAAGCAAATGTGATATAGTAATATGTATGCTTCTTCATTAATGTATCAAATAAGATCTAGTGTTCAATTAACTATAGTGTTCCCATAGGCATGAAAACAATCATGCTTGGAGGTATCTTCAATATTTTTAATGTAATGTAAAAAAACTATCACAAAGTTGCAGGTACTGCTAATGCTTACAATTGTTGTGGTTTGTTGATCACATTCTTGCTAAATCTCAGTGAGACTTTAGTGAAAATGAAGATATAACTTTCTTCCAATCCAAGTTTGCCCTGAATTTTGACAACAGATCCCCTTGGAACCTCTGGTTAAGACCCCCCCTGGACTCCAGTGGGGAAAGTCTGGGCAGCTTTCTGTCTCTAGAGCCCAATTAAACTGCAATGCTTTGATACCATTTGGAACCATTTTAAAACTTAAGAAGTTGCTTCCATATATTAATACACTCTGCAAGTTAAAGCATTACGATGCATGTTTGAGGTCACCTATTTATTAGGACTTTCTGGTAAATCAATACTCTAGGAACCAAAGGAAAACAAGAAAAGCAACCCTCACTTTAATTAAAAAAAAAAAAAAATCTACCAGACAGGGTAATGGAAACAGGAACTAATTTAAGGTTTCATTCTTGACTCCTTTGGGAAAAAATAATTGCAAACAAAATCACCAAAGTAATGCTTTTTGTGCAGAAATGTGATTTTTACAGGCGCCTATTTCTTTCTTTCTTTTTAAAAAAAATTTTTAGAGATGATGGGGTCTCGAACTGTCACCCAGGCTCACTGTAACCTTCAACTCCTGGGCTCAAGTGATCCTCCTGCCTCACCCTCCCAACTAGCTAGAACTACAGGTGTGCACCACCATGCTTGGCTAATTTCTTTCTATTTTTAGTAGAGACAGGGTCTCGCTCTTGCTCAGGCTGGTCTTGAACTCCTGAGCTCAAGGGATCCTCCCATTTTGGCCTCCCAGAGTGCTAGGATTACGGTGTGAGCCATCGTGCCCAGAGCCACGGTGCCCAGCCTGCCTATTTCTAAGTATAGAAATTACAGGCTTATTTTCATGTTTAAGAGTACTACTAAACATTGCACAAGGAAAAATATTTCAATATAAGCATCTAAGTAAGGTTACAAAATAGTTTCAAATTTAGATTAACCAAGATATTTACTAGATGCCATCCTCTGGTGATAAATCCATTCCCATTTGATCTTTCACACATATTCGCCTTCTCATGCTACAAGATCTTCTTCATGAGGTTCGCCAAAGAGCTTGGGATTTAAATTCCGACAGGCAGAGTTCGAGTACGACCCATGCCAGCATTAGCACCACTGGGCAAGTCACCTCTGATTCTAAGCTTGAGTTTGCACATTTGTAAATGGGAATAATGACAATAACATTTCCCTCACAGATCTACCGTGAGGATTAAATGAGGAAAGGCGTATACTACACTTAGTAGTCATATGTGTAGCCGCTCATTCACTGGTGGTTATTATTAATAAATCAGGAAAATCTCCCCGACATGTTACTTGGCCATTAACACTTATTATTTTTTCCTGATTATAAAAGGGATAAGCCAACTGTCAGTGAAGGCACTCTGGAAAATACAGAGAAGCATAGAAGAGTCTATAGACTCTCACCTCAACCCAACTCTAACTATCCTCCCTTTTCATATAGACAGGAGTTAACAAAATTTAGAAGGAGAGTAATGTATGTATTAATTTTTTTTGGAGACACTGCCAGCTTTGATACAAATGCTCTGGTTTTTTTTTTTTGGTCTCAATAAAAATGTCTTTCATTACTGGCCTAGATTTGTAGTAGCTTCTCCAGTACTAAAAGAAATGTTTGTTTAATTTAGAGAGAGAAAAAAAGAGCACTCGAACACCATGGGAGGTTCTTCTCTAGACTTCTGGAAGAAGCAAAAGGTCTAAATTATTTCACAATATAGTATAGCAGAAATTACAAGAAACCCAAAGAGTACCAGTTGTTACAGTACTGAATAAGGGAAAGACGCCAAGTCTCTTTCCTGGCTGTCATATAATGACAGACTTGAGCAGTGACGGTGCTTGGGCCTGAAATCCAGAGAAACAGGTAAATTCAGGGAACGATTGTAAACGTGCCTTTTAATCCGGGAACACGAATGCCTTTTCCAAAATTCAGAAAATAAATTGCTATCAAGTAGAAAAGAAGTTAACCCTGATTAAAAACAATATGCCAGGTAATAGCAAGGGCCTCCAAGGTTTGACCAATGTGTCTTGCCTACTTCTTCCTTTCACTGTTCCTCAGAATGTTCTAGTTTGCCCTTCTCCGTGTTGACACCTGGTACATCTTTCTCCAGCAGTCAAAACTGGCGGATTATCCGCATTTCAGAAGGCAAATTATACTTAGTCCCTTCAGCTGGGCCTGTGACAGACACTACCTGAGAGTGTTTTAAATGACAACCGAGATGTTTTAATCTTTCAGGAACCATGTCACATTCCTTCAGACTCATTCCTAAATGCCAATTTAAAAGGCATGGGCAATATACGTAACCTTAACATTTGTACCCCCATAATAAACTAAAATAAATAAAATAAAATGCATCTTAACAGAAAAGACCCTGCTCTATTTCTACAGAGTTTGGCTGACTCTTCCCAGCCATGTCTTGAAATCTAACTGAAAAAAGAGGAAGAGAAGAAAACTGTAATAGGTCTCACAATCTCTGAAGCCCCTGACCACTTCATCTTCCACTAAACTTGGTTTTGAAAACGGCTGGAAGTCAAATGGAGGGACTTGGGGACGGGGCCTGACTAAAATGTGCCATCTTTGGGCCGCCTTGTCCAGAGGCGCGGGCTGGGCGCGTCAGGGCGGCCACAGGAGGTGGCACCCCTGTGGCGACCGGCGTCTCAGTCCTTCGTCCTGACTTCCAGGGCTGGGGAAACGAGTCGGGAGAGAGAGGCGCGAAGAGCCGGCCTGCCTTTATTTCCACAGAGGCGTCCCGGCGACCTCCAGTCAGGTTGTCCGCCCCTAGAGCGCAGGGGACGGGAAGGGGACAAGTCGGACCAAGGAGCTTGTCAGTTGCCACCGGGTGACCGACCAGGCCTAAACTCGGCTGCGCCGCCGTTGCCGCCGAGGGGAGGCTCCGGGAGGCCGCACGCTCGCGTCCCGCGCCGGGGGACACCGGGCCCCGCGTCCCCGGAGCCTCGCGGCGGCCGGGCGCACCGCGGGAACCCGCTCCCGCCTCTGCCGCCCCCTGCCGGCCGCGCGCCCCGGCACCCGCCGCGGGCGCCCCAGCGCGCCGTTACCTTTTGGGGACATCGAAGGCCCGGCACACGGCCGGGCGCGGCGGGCCGGCGCTCTTGGTCTTCCCGTAGCGGATGAGGTCCTGGAAGAGCGCGCCGCCCGGGAGCAGGCCGCACGGCAGCAGCTGCAGCAGCAGCGCCAGCAGGAAGGCGGCGGCCAGCGCGAGCCACAGCGTGCGCAGCGGGTCCAGCGCCGCCAGCTCGGCCCCCGCCCAGGAGCCATGGCCGCGCGCCGGCCACCGCAGCGCCACCGCAGCGCCGCCGCCGCCGCCGCAGCCGAGCGGCCGCCACGCCCGCGCCGCGCGGTCGGCCGCGCCGGACGTCTGTGACGCGCGCCGCGGGCGGGGACGCGCCGGCCACGCCGGACTCGCGGCCGCGGCCGCCGCGCGGCTCCCCTGTCCCCGGCCCGGCCCCGGCAGCGCCTCGCCGGACTCGGCCATGCCCGCGCGGAAGGCCGGATGCGGGTCCGCAGACGCGAGGAAGCCACACGAACTAGGTCACGTGCCCGCAGGGTTTCCAGTGGGCACAGCCCAAACGTCCACTCGAGTGCGTCCGGCCCTGTTCGCACGTCGTGCGACATCAGCGTGACAGCTGCGAAGACTGCGGAAACACGGACATCGTTTGTGATGACCGGAACTGTGCGGGAAGCGAAAAAACAAAAACAGCGCCGATTATATAAAATATAAAATACACATTTTATATAATCAGACTCATTTCTAAATGCCAATTTAAAAGGCATGGGCAATATGCGTAACCTTAACATTTGTACCCCCATAATAAGCTGAAATAAAATAAAATAAAATAAAATAAAATAAAATAAAATAAAATAAAATGCATCTTAATAGAAAAGACACTGCAATTGTTTGCAGTGTCTTTTACATGTGGTAGCAAACAATTGTGTGGATAAAAAAAAAAGCCCGGTCATACACGAACATGGATCATCTGTATTAGGATGATGAAAATATGTATCCTGTGAACACGTAAAGTAGGAACTCATCAAAGTAATCGCAGGTAACAGAAATAGTCCGGTGGCAAAAATTGTGTTTACTTTTAGTAAACTTTCCAAATCTAGAAGCAACGTTTTTAACTCCACCAGCTTTGTTTGTTCTGATACTTACCTCCACGTGGTGACAATACTGTTTATTGACTCATCAATTTTAAACGTATTTTTTTTTTTTACTGTAAATGAAAATTTAGCTCTTTGGGGTACTTTTTAAAAAGCCCTTAAGATATTAATTGCAAAAAAGTGTTGTGTGCCTCTTGTATAGCAGGCACTGTTTTGGACACTGAGGACAGAGGGCTTTCTTTACAAGACAACTGTCACTGCCAGTTCCGGCTTCATGTGCTTGAGATTGGGTAGTAGGTGAGGGGGGAAGAGGGGAGAGGTGACCAACTCATCACCCTTACCCCAAAGAGATACCTTATATGTGTATTGAACAAACCTTGGGGAACTGGATGGGTAGGTTAGTGGGACTTTGGGTTTGATAAATGTGCAAGTTTTTAGGGTTTTGCTTCTATGTGCAAGGACATTTAAGGCTTTATCAGTTCCCTGATAGCCAGGTGATAAAGGATGACCAAATTGGCATTCCAACTAGGACAATAAGGCCTTTCTGTGTGACCTGGAATCTCTCTGCAGGAGCCATCCCTGCATTGTTTCTTTATTGTTTTTAGGCTAACTCCACAGAAATGCCTTTCCAGAACATCTCGTAAGTGCATTGCAGGGACCTGGTTTCCTGAATAGGAGGTTCTCTTATAGTTTTCTGACCTGGGGAAGATTGAAAATAATAATAATACGGCTGGGCATGGTTGCTCATGCCTGTAATCCTAGCACTCTGGAAGGCCGAGGTGGGCGGATCACTCAAGGTCAGGAATTCGAAACCAGCCTGAGCAAGATTGAGAGTCTGTCTCTACTATAAATAGAAAGAAATTAATTGGCCAACTAAAAATATATATAGAAAAAAAAAATTAGCTGGGCATGGTGGCGCATGCCTATAGTCCCAGCTACTCGGGAGGCTGAGGGAGGAGGATCCCCTGAGTTCAGGAGTTTGAGGTTGCTGTGAGCTAGGCTGATGCCATGGCACTCCAGCCTGGGTAACAGAGTGAGACTCTGTCTCAAAAAAAAATAAAAATAAAAAAATAGGTGTGTGTGTGTGTGTGTGTGTGTGTGTGCATGTGTGTATACATGTAGTAGAAACAGGCAAGTTGAGGCTGGAGGAAAAATGATCCCATGTTTTTTGGTTTGGATTTTAATCAGGTGCACAGTTTCTATTCAGAGATGCCCCCTGTAGAGGGCAGTGGCTGAACAGAAAGCTGTAATTTAGCCCTACTGAGAATATGTGTAAATGTTTAAATCCTTACTGGAGTGAGTTATTTCAAAAGTGGAAAACCAGGCGAAAGTCTGTTAGAAAGATCAATGCTGTCAATGCCCCACTGATAAATTTGATAGGCTTTAAGAAAAAAAATTTTAAAAAAATCAATGCTAATAAATATTAGCATTTTTGTCTTTATTTAATTAACAGCACTGTATGTTCAACAAATGACTGGCTTTGCCTTCAGTAAATAGCAATGCCATTTTTCCAGTTGCTCAGGCCAAAAACCTTGAACTCAACCTTGATTCCTGTCTTTCTCTCGCCGCCTAAAATACAAGCTGTCAGCAAATCCTATTGGCTCTGCCTTCAAAATATGAATCCAAATTCAGTCATCCTTAGAGTCAGTGCTTTACTGAAGTCCCTAGACATCTCAATAAATCAAAAAAAGATAAAAGGTATAAAGACTGCAAAATAAAAAACAACGCTGTCATTATTTGAAGGCAATATGAAACTCCAATAGTAGAAATTCCAAAAGAGTCTACAGATAATCTATTAATATTAGAACTAATAGAGTTTGGTCAGGTTGCTGGAGACAAAAATCAATTTATAAATGTTGATTATTTCTATTTCCTGGCAACAAACAGAAAATTGTATGTTTCTATTTCCCGGCAACAAATAGTAAATTGTATGTTTCAAAGAAATAATTTACAATAGCTTAAAATATTATGCATCTAGGAATAAATCTAATAAAATATAGTAAGACATCTTCAAAGAAAATAAAATATTACTGATATAAAATAAAATGTATTTAACAGGGGAAATATACTAAGCTTATAAATTAGAAAGCTGCATATAGTTAGTATGACAACTTTCCCTAAACTGATTTATGAAATAAATATAATCCCAATCAAACCTTAACTTTTGGTGGAATTTACCAAGCTGATTCTAAAATTTATATGGAAATAAGAAGGGCTAAAGGTGACCAAGGCACTCTTGAAGATGAAGATAAAGGTTGGAAGACTTGCTGTAATTGCTAACACAGAGTATAGTATAAATAATGGTGTCAGTGTTGTAACAGGAAGCAGGGACAGAGAAATAGACAATGAAACATCATGGAACATCCAGAAACAGACACCCACATATATAAACACCTGACCTATGGTTGAGGTTGCATAACATATCAATGGGGAAATGATGAACTTCAAAATAAATGGGGATAGGTCAAATGAGTAAACCCCGAGAGCTAGAATTAGGGACAAAGGCAGAGACAGACACACAGAGAGAGATAGAAAGAAATAGGATTCGTTTCTCACTCTGTTCATAAAAATCAATTCCAGGCAGATTAAAGACCTAATGTGAAAGGTAAAATGAAATCTGTTAAAAGGTAATATAGGAGACTATTTTCATTATCTTATGGTAAGGAGGGTTTGTTTTTTTACACAAGGTATAAAAAGCACCTGGGGGAAAATATCAATACACTCTACAACATTAAAATTAAAAGCTCTTCTTTATCAAAAGATACCACAGAGTGAGATACAAGGCACAAAGTAGGAAAAAGTAATTGCTACACTCATAACCAGTAAATGGTTAGAATCCTGCGAATTAATTTTTAAAAAGACAGGCAGGGCCGGGCGTGGTGGCTCACGCCTGTAATCCTAGCTCTCTGGGAGGCCGAGGCGGGCGGATTGCTCGAGGTCAGGAGTTCGAAACCAGCCTGAGCAAGAGCGAGACCCCGTCTCTACTATAAATAGAAAGAAATTAATTGGCCAACTAATATATATATAGAAAAAATTAGCCGGGCATGGTGGCGCATGCCTGTAGTCCCAGCTACTTGGGAGGCTGAGGCAGAAGGATTGTTTCAGCCAGGAGATTGAGGTTGCTGTGAGCTAGGCTGACGCCATGGCACTCACTCTAGCCTAGGCAACAAAGCGAGACTCTGTCTCAAAAAAAAAAAAAAAAAAAAAGACAGGCAGATAATCCAATAGAAAAATGGGCAAAATACTTTGATAGGCACTTTATCAAAGACATATTTAAATTACAAAAAAAACCATACAAAATGGTGATTGGCCAATCACATTAATAATCAGGGAATTGCAAATTAAAACCATAATGAAATACAATCTTTTTTTTGGTTTTTTTTAAAACAGTCTTGCTCTGTTGCCCAGGGCATCAGCTTGGTCACAGCAACCTCAAACTCCTGGGCTCAAGCAATTCTCCTGCCTCAGCCTCCTGATGAGCGGGGACTACAGGTACGTGCCACCACGTCAGGCTAATTTTTTCTACTTTTACTTGGGACAGGGTCTCACTCTCACTCATGATGGTCTCGAACTCCTGACCGTAAGCCATCCTCCTGCCTCAGCCTCCCAGGGTGGTAGGATTACAGGAGTCAGCCTCTGCACCTGGCCTGTTTCATGTATTTTGAAGCTATGTTATTAGGTACAAACCCATTAAGGATATTGTGTCTTTCTATTTCATTGAATCATCTGTGTGTCTGCTCATATTGTCTGTTTTTCTTTTCTTTTGATTGTAGTTCTCATTTTTGTGCTTTGTATTTCATAATGTTTTATTATATGTCAGATATTATGTACAAAAGGACCATAGAGATTGAAGTCAATGTTTTTCCTCAGAGAGATCCCACCCTTTATTCTGTCATGCAGATAGAGTGACAGGAGAGAAAGGACTTCCAATTTCCTAGGAAGGACCTTTCCCTCTCTAGAATTTAACTCTTCCAGATCTCTTTGTTTCTATAGCTTTTCAATGTCTTAAAATGTGGGTTTCATTTTTGCTTCTATTTGTTTTTTCTATTTGTTATAGCAGGAGTGACAGCCTACTGACATCATCCACATCCTGAATCAATACTACATAATTTATAAAATTTCTATGGAGTCTTATGTGATAAAAATGTATAAATATGAATTAAAAAATAAAACTACCCACTTAAAGAAGCTGAAAAAAGACTTGTCTGTAGTGCCTTGGGCTTGGGGAAGGGGAAAAATATAACCACTTGTTTTCTAGGTGTTTATCTCAGATCCAATTTCCTGGTTACCTGTTCTGTCTCAGATGAGAAAATAGCATAACAATTCCTCTAAACTTTTGATACTTCTGCCTGTCACACCTGAATGCCAAACCAC